TCTACACACAAAGTTTATTTTTAAGATTTTTATGACTAATTAATAATTTATATATCTAATTATAAAATCTTTAGTTTCCAGGCATATCATGAGTTGTAATTGAAAAAAATGCAGTTAAATAGCGAATTGACGTGTGATTAAACTTACATACGCCGAAATTGTTTCGAAAATCATTATTCGCACTCAAGTTAATACCGAAGCAAAAGAAATGCGCATGATATGCGAGAAATGGTAGTCAAGAAGAATATCCGATCTAATGGCGGCGATTAAAGGTGCGAGGGATAAGAGGTAGTCTGATTGAGTTTACCGTAATTTGACAACAAAAGTACGATTTCACCTGGTACGATTTCGCCGGCTTTCGATTACGCAAGATAAGGGAGCAGTTTGATGTGACTTTTGTCGTCGAACAGCTCTCTCTCTCTCTCTCTCTCTCTTTTGTGCATATTCCAATCGAAGGAAATCCTCTTTCTTTCTCAAACATAAAATATGCTTCTTTTACTCCTCCATATACATCAACGCAAAAGTAAACGTGTTGTTTAATAAACTCTTTTCGTGTGATAATTGCGAGCCGAAAAGAATAATTTGATTCACTTGAACGATTAAAAAGTAACTTCGTAAAATACTAGACGATGCTATGCCTCGATTTTGCAATCCTGTTAAAAAAATTGGAGCGTACAGAGCCAGATGTTTAGAAAATAAAACTGTTTGTAAGAATGATATAACAAATGCATTCGGTGAAAATTCCGGAGTTTTTCTTTTACAGCAATAGATATAATTTTATTTGATCAATCAACAGTGAAGTTGATAGTTACAGGACGTGAATCACGAGCCGTTCAAGTATATGAAATGATTTATGCATTTACACCCACGCACAACACATACGACGTTTCCAGGCACGCTTTATATTCTTAATCGTAATACCACGTATATAACATTATAGCATGACATATCATATAATATAATATATAGCATAAACGTATAATATTAATAGTATTACAATTATACAGATCTACGTAATAACAAGTTTATAAAGTTGACAGCGCGACCTTTTTAACATACATCGCGTAAAGCATGCAGCTTGACGCTTGACAAGAATGTACTTTAGTATATTTGTATTATTTGGCAGTAACGATCGTTATTTTACCGTCAATCAACGTTCCCGGTTAGTACATTCCAATTAGTAATTTAACTATTATTGTATTCGTTCAGATTTATCCGGTGATCTTACAGGAAATATGATTTGATATATTTTGGCAAATTAACGGTGCTTCCTTTAATTGATTATCATCAGTGCTCGATGATGAATCAGCTACTCGTTGAGTCGTTGCGTTCAATAAAGTATTGATACAATCCAGGGAACCATCATGATTCCCGTAACGATCCAAGACGCGGAGATGGATGTGCCGCTGTTGTAGAAGCCGCTACCGTAAACCTGCAGACCCGCGGTCTCTATGCTCCTCTTGCAAAAGTCTCCGTCTATGTAACAAAATAGGATAGTAAATTACAAAATTGTGTCATCTTTTTTAGATCATCAAGAATGAGCGACAGACATCCTACACTAGAGACTATCTAATGAGAATCTGGTTACGAGCCGTGTTTTGTATTGCAGAGTTTTAAATTTTGGCAAAATCACGCGAGAGAGAAGGACACATATATTTACTACTTCCCTCCCCATTAAAAAAAATTGTTTTTCCTTTCTTTTTTCTTCTCCTTTTCTTAGGTGTTGCTAAAACATGGAGACTAATAAAAAAATTGTCTCATGTCTAGATTTCCATTGGAGTCTCTAGTTAATCAAAATTGCTGCTCAAAAGAGAATAACGAAACCATCTATGGAAATAGCGGTAGAGACATTTTTTCCGATTGTCCAAAGTGAGCGTGCTATGGAGATCGCGCGATCGACACCGGCGAGGAGGAGCGAAAGGAAGGAAACGAACCATTCTAAGATCCCATAATCGAGATCGACAGAAGCTGGAAAGAGAGTCATGCGGTGAATAAAGGTGAGCAACGATCGAAAGGTCGATTTACCTTTCCCTCCGCTAGCTTTTGTTCCTTTGTAGTTTTGCGGATATTTTTTGGCAAATTCGTCAATCACCGCTTTTTTTTTTATCCAATCACTTTATCGTTGTTCCGCTCGATTTAGTCGTGCATTAACGGGGTTTGGGCAGAACTACCTTAGGTCTCACCAGATAGCAATTTCTTGCACGTGCAACGTTGGTTCAAACACTTGTGGCTACGTCGATGGACAAAGGTGGCACGGGGAATGGAAACGCTAAATAGTAACACGTACCTCATTATCTCGACATCAGGGCACAATGCACTGATATTACTTCATTCAGTCGTATGACGTATTAACGCGATTTTTCTTTTACCGATGGACCACGATTGCGCGCGCGCTTGAGAAATTACTGATCGCTTTTACGATTAAGAATTATCGGAAAAATTTAATAGCATCAATCTTCTCGGGTGAAATAGGATAAGATAATTGGTAGCTTGCAGCACAAAGTGTATAAACAGAATATACCGATTCCCTTAAAGATGAAGTGATCTATCTTTCAATTATTTGCGGCTATGATCTTGCACTTCGATGCACGTGTAAATCTCACAGCCTGTACTTTTACTTACAGCCATATATACATAACAAAGCAATAGCGATGTATCAAACAATACGTAATCGAACTGTTCTTTTCAATTCTTGCGCGCGCGACGGTATTTAACTTTATAATAGTCGCTTCAAGTATTTTTATACCCCGCGAAAAAATGTGAATTGTTATAAAATATTGTATAGATATTGTGTAACACTTTTTCTTTTTCACTAACTATTTATCACAAATTCCAAGGAAAAAATCCATAATGAAGAAATATTACTTTAATTAATTAAAATCTTTATTTTTTGAAAAATTATTTTAGAAATATCTGAATAATCAATTTAACATATTTATATTTCCGTTTAATATGTGTGTGTTTGGTTACTATTTAATTTTTTCGAACACAATTCTGATTAAATCTATAATGTTTCGAAGTCTAACGAACTAATAAATCGGAAAACGATCTGAATAATGTACAATATACGTCGTTAATAACAATAATTTTAATTAGGATATAAAAACACCTCAAGTTGTTTACGTAAAAAACTTATGTGATTATTTTCAGGTTAAAACCACTTAAGAAATGATTATCATTCATCCGATCGAAAGTCTTGCTCTTTGTTTTTCCCGTTACATTGCAGGCGCGTTACACGTGGACCATAACCGGAGAAGTTGCCGGCAAAACGAGAACGAAGATCGACTAAAAGTGAAATTATATGACTGGCGTTCCATGATTTCTTTTTATTGCGTTGTTACGTATACGAGTGCTGCGTACATCTGTTCCTCACATCGGAATCATCTCCGAGAAGGAAGGCCCCTCCTGCTGCTTGGCGTACTGAATGACCGTTTTACTAGAGCAAATGCAGATTTATGCACCATTTCCCCGGCACGTTTTGTCGGCTGTTTTGGTTGAAAATATTGACAAGTCGTGCGCGCATACGTGCATGAATGCCCGTGCATTATGCAAGACGCGGACTGCACGCGTCCGGCGGTGCTCAAATTCAGGTTAAGCTAACGATACTAACGTTTGCCTGCATAACCGTTGCAATCAAGTAAAACGAACTTCTGCAATGCAAATTGGTTGTTCAAAGCGACTCTCTAACATTACGCTGTGTCTTTTCACTTTTCGCGACTGGACATGACGAATATTCCTACCATGACTAATCCGTCTTCCTATTTCGTGATTTGCATTTTCCTTGCGGCGCATAAGGTGTACGGTATAGTAGCCGAGAAAAAGTCAACACAGTTTCCACAGCCGAACGCGTTACTTGACGTATCTTAATTTCAAGATCTAGACTTTTTCGGGGAAATGTTTATGCCAGATCATTTCCTGCTGGAAAAAAATCTGTAATCTGGATCGGTCGTTCTGACTTGGCGGGAGAGAGACCTCGTTACATAATATTGCGTAGTCGAATGATTTCTCGATCACGCGTGGCTTGGTCCCGATTGACCGAACGTGAACGGCGATGTTCGCTCTCACGCGAGAAGAGACGGAGCTCTAATGCACGTGCACGTGCGACTTTGCCTTCTCGCAAATTCGCGAATGGATAGATGGATAGATGGATGGATGCATCGAAGAACTCTTACGGCACGCGATGGAAACGAGCTGTCTCACGATTCTCTCTCTCTCTCTCTCTCTCTCTCTCTCTCTCCTCTTCTTTTAATCTATCGCTATGTTTATCCTTTTTTAACTCTCTTCTCCTGGCGGCCTTTTCCTCGTTTCACACTCTGCTTTCGCAATTTTCTAGTCTCACGAGATCAGAACTTTACAATCAACCTCTTCTCCCGATGGTTTCTCTGCCGCCTCTGCGTTTTATCACGGAAATAGTGCGAAAGTTTGCTATCGTTTCCTATCGAAAAAATAAACGCCACGATGATTCATTCAGAAAAAGACGATTTTGCTGAAGTATCTACTTTAGATAGATACAGATCTAAAAATAATTTTGTTGGACTGTCAACATAATTATTCGGAAAATTCAAATACGATGAGTAATGAGCTACGAAAAATGTTGACATTCACCGAAAAAAATACTAAATTTTAATAAATATTTGTTTGAATTATTTTAAGCAAGCATTTGTAAATGTAAACATATATTTATTTGATACGAAAACAATTAATTTGACTATTATTTCTTTCGTTAAGTAAATATTTACTTATTGTTAGTACCATTCCAAGAAATATGTATTGAAATTTAGTAAATTTTTTTTCAATATTCCAACAATCAGTCTTACATTATTATTTTGATAGTCTACCAAAATTTATTTGTGTCTAGGTAAATTTTGTAACATTCCAGCAGAACACGTTTTTTCCGGGAGCAAGGAACAAGAAAGCTTTCCGGATCAAATAATTCGCGTCGCTCACACGAGTTCTTCCGTCAACGTACCGATCCCCGGAAAAGTTTCTCGTTTTCTTCTCTTATCTTCGAGAGAGTTGCGATTAATTCGCGGATTGCAATTAATTCGCGGATATCGTTTTTATTATCGTCCTGCTACTATTTTACCAAAGTATCTTATCCTGTTTTCGCTTTCGTTCCCTGGGATGTCGACACTTCTTGATTTATTATGCACACATAATGGTTTAACTTTATTTAAGAGAATTCATAACTTATTCCGCTCGAAGTGCTTCGCTATGCTTTCGAAACGCATCGGCATAATTTATGGGATGAACGCGCGGCACGATGTACATATCTGAGTTCTCACCCGTGTAACCGTTTTTATATAACGCGCGCGCGACCGATGACTGGCGTTAAGAATTTGGCAAGATGCATGGTCTTCGTTAGGTGTAGACCGTTAATCTCAATAATTTCGTCGTACACACACGGCGATTCGTAATTCGCAAGTCGAATGTCGTCATACAATGAACATTTGTAACGCTCGCCAGTAAAGTAGCACGTGGGAACTGCAACCTTCAATCTGTTGCAGTAGGAAATTGCATAATTTTGTAGCGAGTTACGTCGAAAGGTACCGTATCGTACTACGGCGGTTCCAAGACGTCACATGAATCGATCTTTGTATCCGGTTGTGTTGTAACAATTATCTTTAATTAAGGATAAACGTAACATTATACAATATCGCCGTAAATTAACACGAGAAGTGTCGTAATAGTTAAAATAAAAGAATTATTTGTAAA